TCCTTTTTATTTATTCTTTGTTCCATTCAGTTATGTGTGTTAATAACACTATAGTCCACGAGGGCGGTTCTTTATTCAGTGTTTGTTAATTCCTTCAGGGACTAACATCTGGCACATTTATCATTCTGGATATACTGAAAACATTAACTTATACGACTCAACGTATACGTTTATGACTCAAGTATTGAAGACTGTAATTAGATTGGTTCAATCGGGTGGTTTCATTTAAACTACTGTATAGTGGAGTGGTTCTGCTATAACAGATCTTTGGGTCGCTGTTGACTTGATGTTGTTTGTAAAGTTGCGTTCACTGGCAACATTTTTTCAAGATTTTATTGGGGAAAAACTGCGGCCCATTGTCTGTGAAGACCTCTTTAGAACTAGGGTCTCCGGCCTCTGTAGACCTAAGGATACAAAGAGTAGCAAACACTTAATACTCTTCAGATGGTTCTTTCCATCTGAAACTAATAAAGCAGCGCCTACCTTCTGATGAAGTCGATCTGGTACTGGGTGTGGTAGTAATGGCTCTGCTGGGTTACTGGATTGATATTTTAGGAATGTGTTGCCGTCTGAAACTTTTGATCGCAACCTGGTTTATTCTTGGCCAGGACAAGCATTTTTCTGCTTCTCGAAACCAAGAGGTCCACTGTGTACTTAGACTTAGTACCCAGACTGGTTGGGATTACTGTCTTGTTTTCCCTCTAGATAATGTCACCCTCTGTGGACAATCCTGTTCCACAGTTACTAATGATTTCAGGGGAACAGATTTGTTACACAGCAGGCCAGCCTTCCGTGATGTTCCTCCAACTCTGAAAATGTTTCATCCATTTGTTTGTTTAAAGAGCTCCGAGTCCAATTTGTGATGCAGGGCCGTCACAAATTGGACTGTACGTAGGGCCCCACTTTTGTGGAGGGGATGGATGGATGATGGATGGATGGATGGATAGATGATGGATGGATAGATAGATAGATGGATGGATGGATGATATATACAAATATACAAATGTGCAGTAAGCTAATGTTAGCTGCTGAACTCATACCTGCTGTTGTATCAGAATATGGCTGACATTCATTCCATATAGTGTGAATACCTGTATTTTAAGCCTTAAGCATAAACATAGACATTCATGCACACAGTAGGGCAACACAGCACATGCAAATGTACAAAGTACTGTAGTAATAAAAGCTAAATGACAAGGTGTTCTTTTTTTTCTCTGTTGCTGTACAATTTTCTTATGTAACAAGTAATTTTCTTTAGGGTACCCTATGACATCACGTTTTCCCTGAAGTAACTCCTGAAGTAAACAGAGGAAGAGAGGGGAGATAGTGCAGCCAGGACCCATGAGTAATGGAGGCCGGTTGCTATGTTCCTCTGTTTTGGCAACAGTGTTCCGAAAGTTCCAAGTGCACAATAGTGCATCAGAGCCCTGCTCTCCAACACCGTGTTCATATACTGACCTTTTGAAGTACAATGACACAAAGCAGATACCTCTGTTCCCTGTTATCTGCTGTCACCAGCGTCCATTGTTCCACAGGAAACTTGTTCCTGCACTGCAATGGACACACCACCGAAAAAAGCAAGCACAGAGAACATAGTTGTAGAAACTACACGAGATGCCACTCTTTCACCTCTACTGCAGTACTGTTCAAGAAAAGGAGTGAACGTTACTAACCAAAGCAACGGGGGGGGAACGGGCACGAGACCAAATGGATCTGTTTTAAATTACTGACATGTTTTTCTTCAGCGAAGTTAAACAAGGGGAATCTTGACTCTCCCTCACTGTCTCCCTCGCCGTCTCTCTCTTCTTTTTTTTTTACGGCCTTGTTTTGGATAAGAAAACTGCGCAAAGGGCTGTGGCTTCCATATCAAAATGAAAGCATATTTCATGTTCGAAAAAAATACTTTCCTGGATTTTGCTCAAAGTAGTAAACGTTAGCTACCACCAATGCTTGGTGTTAGACTATATTTGTTTGTTTTCTTGCTGCACTCCAGCAGACTAATAAAAGTGTAAAATAGCGATCCAAGCTGCGCGGCTTGTTATTTTGGGTGGTCTGCACAGGGGGGGATTTCAATCTGAGACCACTTGGCAGTTATTCTTAGAGGTGTAGTACATGCACATGTTGCTAGTTGTTTTTGTTTATGTCCCTCTGAGCATGACACCATTAGGACGTAAATAATCCTGACTTACCGCTGGGTAATACACAAGTTGACAGGAGCAGCTTCAAAGGACATAAAAACTTTCATATGTAGCATTATTAGCTGTTTTCTAAATAGCTATCTGACTACAGGTGTTCAATTAAATGACATCCTCATTTTTGGGGACGTAGTAAAAGTAGTTAGTCCGGGGTCCAAGTTGAACCCTGCCCTTATCCTACGACTGCTGAGCCTCCACCCTCCCGCAATAATACAAAAAAATGGATGACTCAGTAGAAGATGACTAAGTGACTTAATGAGATTGAGAAATTCTATTAAGGAATGATTTATTTGAATCTATTTGTTGGCACTGGTTATGTAAAACTGTTGGACTGTTGGAAGAGAATGACTCAGTTTGTGCTAGCTTAATTTGATAATTGTGAAAATGTTTGCTGGATTATATTAAAAGCAGACATCATATCGTGCTGAACCAGCTTGGTCTTGGGGTTTAGGATTATTTTAACACTTCATGGAGATGCGATAAAGGTATTTTAAAACTGTCCTCCTTCTATACCACACGTGTCAAACTCAGGCCCGGGGGACGAAATCTGGTCCGCAGTGGGATTATATTTGGACCTCGAGATCATATCAAATGTGTACTAGAGTTAGCCCACCAGTATAGAGCCCCTATAGACTATGTTATAGCACATAGTTATTTTTGTTGTTGTTGGCCTGTAAAAACAAACACCACTGATGTGTTTTTTTTCAAATTTAATTTCTCATGTGTTTATAATATTTAGCTTTGATTGTTCCAGATTCAATGTTTACGCAAAACTAAAAGTTTGTAAGAAAAAACAAATTCTACATTACATACTATATGTGGAGAGAAGGGAAAACGTGCACAAAATTGCCGTCAATTTTTCAATAAATATTAAGTTTGGCCAGCTGTGCATTTGACACCCCTGCTCTGTACCTTGGCCTCACTTATACAAGAGGAGAGGGATCAGGGGACGTCTACTGTTACCTGATGAAATGAAGTTGTTTTGCGGATATTCAGAAGTAGAATAATCTCCAGCACCACCTTGAGTTGCGCTCCACAACTGCTATGTCCACGACCGACCCCGAGAACGTCTCAATGTCCGACAAAAGTGCGTTGTCAAGAGTTGAGTGAGTACAGAGCTCAAACAATAGCCCTGTTTGGGTACAGATACTGATACAGATACTATATATA